GGGGGGGGTGGGGGGGGGGGGGGGGGGGGGGGGGGGGGGGGGGGCGCCTGCCGGTAACGGCTCCGGTAACGGCTGTGAGTGTGTGAGCGAGTGGGGAGGGAGCCCCGCTCGCTGTGCCGTGCTTAATGACCCCACTCTTGTCTTGGCGTTGCCCTTGCGGGACAGGCGGCTGGCGGGAGAGGTGGATGAATTCTGAGTGCAAGCCAGACCTGGGGAAGTTTAAACTCACTGCTGGGAAGTTTTATGGAGATCCAGTGCGAGATAAAGGTATGTGGGTTTAATGACAAATACGCTACGGGAGCCATCTCAAGAGCTGGGGATTTGCCGTCCATGGCAATAAAAGTATTTTTTCTTTGCAAATGGAGACAAATGTAAGTTTGAATATTCCACTGATATCTTTACAGGTCTACAAACTACTGAAAATTCTAAGTTCTATGCTATCTCCTCACGATTTAAACCATTTAGTAACAAAGGGAAGACTCTGGTCATCCAGTATACTGTGAAACACGAGCAGAAGATAGATTGCGGTGGGGGATATGTTAAGATTTTTCCCTCAAACTTGGATCAGAAGGACCTAAGTGGAGATTCACATTATTACATCATGTTTGGTGAGTTTTTAGTTATTTCTTCATTGCTAAAATACTGTCACTGCTGGTGTGCAATTCTTCAAAGATGGTTGTGGAAATGGTAGAAAAAACATAAAGGAAGGCTGTCTTAAAAAAATAAGGATGTTGTGACTGTAAGGAGTTAGCTCTTCCATGCTTGAGAGATCTCTAAATATGTATTAACAAAATACATATTTATGTAAACATTCTGAGCTGATTTGAAGGACATCGCTGAAAATGGTTGGAGTGAGCTTAGAATAAAAGTAGTTGATCGGCAGGATTTATTTTCTTTAAGACCTTTGACTGAAACAACATATTGTAGGCCATTCTCTGCCCTTACATGCTTCTATGTAGTTTCTGGTGACTTAGTGAAATTTGTACATTTGTACGTCAAAGTGACATAATTGTCATTATGTATCTAATATAATTATATAGTTATTCAGCTTGTGCCATAGATAATTTTTATTTTGCCTGGATTTTTGTTTTCTGTTAGTTCTGTTACAGAACTAAACCCCAAACTACACAAAATCTAATTCTAAGGTAAATTTGGAGACTTTGAGTAGAAGCCACATCATCCATTAAAAATGGAATGGAATATAACAAAATACGTGGAATGGGAGAGATGACTAGCAGTATCAGAAGGAAAAGGTAAACAATCTGTATTTGTCTGCAAAGAAGTTAAGGATATAATCTCTTTGTAGGGCCAGATATTTGTGGATCTGAGACAAAGAAAGTCCATGTTATTTTAAATTACAAGAATAAACCCCATCCAATCAAGAAACCGATCAGATGCAAGGTAAGTACACATTTCAAAGATACATAAACTTTAAAATAAACAAGTTACAGGGCTATTAAGAAGGGAAAAAAAAACCCACACACCTAAACAACTATTCCGAACTTGTAACACCTTTGAGAAGTTCTACTTGTCATCCTATCTTAAAAGACATATTAATTTTGGGACTTCAGATATTTCTTAGTTCATGATATGTTTGCAATTTAATGATTGCGTTCATAATACCTGATACTGATACAGGATGGAACAAGGTTGCAAGGGTGCTGGATGCTATTAGGAAATGTCTGTCTTTGTGTTTCTGAAGTGTAACTTTAATTCCACGATTCCTAGTGAGAGAGTGCTTTCTTGTGATATAAATGTAACATCCTGGCTATATTTTCAGTATTTTTGCTTTTACCCTGTGTTGTAAGCTGTTTTATATGCCTTTGCTGTAGGTATTTGGGATATAAATAAGTTGTATTTGATATTAACTAAAATCATTACTTTATCTAATACTATTTTCAATCTTCTGACGCTTCCTCCTGCCAATCAGACACAGACTGTGTTTTCTTGCAACGATTCAGTTTTGTTCAGAGACCCAGATGGGAGGACTGGAAAATAGATGTGAAAAACGTCATTAATTTTATTTTTGCCCTCTAGGAGACTTTGGGAATTATTGTTTCTTACTACTGCTTATGAAGAATCCATTAGAAACTAGTATTTTAATTCTGGCGTGAGGCAGTTCCTAAGAGCTCTATTTAAGGTTCTTGAAAAATGTTACTTTCTTTCTGTGAAACCCAGGTTGATGGATATACACATCTATATACTTTGATTATAAGGCCAGATCAGACTTACGAAGTAAAAATTGATAACGAAATGGTTGCATCTGGCAACTTAGAAGATGATTTAGATTTTTTGCCACCGAGGAAAATTAATGATCCAACAGTGAGGAAACCCACGGACTGGGATGATCGCATCCAAATTGATGATCCAAATGACATCAAGCCTGAGGTAACTGGCTCGCCTTACTCTGCATTGTTGAGGTTTTTCAGTCTTGCTGAATACACATTTGATCTCATTAAACTGTGCACTAGTTTTGCTTTCTTAATCTTCCCGTCTCTTTTTAAAGGATTGGGATGAACCTGAATACATCATGGACACTAGTGCTGAGAAACCCGAAGACTGGGATGATGCCGTGAATGGAGAATGGCATTATCCTATGGTCAAGAATCCTCTATACAGAGTATAAATAATTTTGTAATCCTAGCTATGGATAACGCTTTAAGCAACTTTTCTTTGCCTGACCGTATTCAGAACGTCTGGTTTATCCTAGGGGGAATGGAAACCAAGGCAGATTGATAATCCAAATTATAGAGGAGTTTGGCCTCATCCACAGATTGACAATCCAAATTACTCGCCAGACTTCAGTATCTACAGCTATGAAAATATCAGCATCATTGGACTGGATATATGGCAGGTGAGATGCCTTTAGTGGAAAAGTTACTGGAAAACAAAGAACCTTTCTCTCGCTGAGTGTATAGCAACCTGTTTACCCTTTGCATATAAACATTATCTATTGCTTTGGGATCTTAGGGACCTACGTCTTTAGCTTGCTCTTATTTAAATATATGTACAAACTTGAAAAATCTGTAAGACGCACTGATCTTCTGTTGTAGTTATTGTTTGGATCAAAATCATCCACAGGTAAGCGAGGGGCCTAAACTAACTTGTGTAAGCGTTGTAAAGTACGACCTACGCCATCTGACTCGGGGTGCGTAACTGAGGCTTCAGGCAGCTCAGTTATTCCTGACGTACCCAAAGATTAACGAGGAGAAAACGGCCCTCTGGGCTGCCTCTGAGATCTTCCTCTGTCTGGGGTGTCTTGACTAGCCAGTGATGAGACTTAAAACTTCTTAAAGAGCAGTGAAATGCCTGAAGTTAAAACAAGTTCTTTAGATTCTTGAAAACAGTCGTCCAACGAGATAATTCTTCATCAAATCCTGCAAAAATCTATGGGGTTCTTAACATGATTACTCTATATTGAATATATGATATGAACATCTTGTTTAAAAAAAAAAAAAAAAAAGAGATGAAAACTCTTAAGAAAACAAAGAGGCATCCTCGTTTTTTTTCCCTATTCCCTCAAAGGTGAGAGCTGGCACAATTTTTGACAACTTCTTGATAACAGATGATGAGGTTTATGCAAAAGACTTTGGAGATGAAACGTGGGGAGAAACGAAGGTAACGTGAAATTCTTGTGTCTGTTTTGGTTCCTTATTACCACATTTTAAAAATCCCCTGCCTAATCTGATCGAGAGCCTATTGGTGCATAAAAATGAAATCTTAATATTAGGGTCCTGAAAAGGAAATGAACATAAAGCAGACTGAGGAAGAGCAGGAGAGAGAAAGGGTTACAGAAGAAAAATACTTTGAGCAACGGTTTAAGAAAAAGCTAGAGAGAAGGAAAGAATCTGGAAAGGCTAGAGCAGTGAGGAACACTGCCGAGAAGGAAGAGCTTTAATTGTTATTTGAAAGAAGTTCACATTTTTTTCACTTAGGGGTTTTTTCACTTAAGGATTCTGATATTTTGTTAACAGCTTGTTGAAATCTGCACCAATGGAGTTGTATTAAAACAGGACTTTTTTAAAAATTCAACATTAAATTTCGTGACCAGTTTCAGTTATTTTTAATAAAAATACCATAACATAGTTAAATTCTGTAAAGAGAAGGTTAATTTTTTTTATTAACTGTGTCTTAACACTGCTAAAATGTATTAAAAACATCTGTAATAAAGCACTAGGTTTTGGAACTGGTTTGCACTTTCATGGTTTAATATTAAACGTAAAATTCTTGCTCATTTTTGTTGAGGAAATATCATAATAAGCTTTTTGTGATATTTCATTAAGGGGTTCGGCATGTCAAATGTGTGAAGCATGTTTCACAACATACTTCCAACTAAGGAGGAGATAAGCTTCGCTAAGCTTCTGTAGTAACTGTGCACCTGTCAGGGTTTCACGGATTACTGCAGCTGCACCGACGCCGCGAACACACCGTGGCTGCTCGTGGCTCAGCTGCTGTGGAACCTTCTAGCTCTCCGTCCGGGGGTGGGCCCCAAGCGACAGCACTCTGTCCACCCGCAGATCTGCCCTTAGAAATTTGAATGTGTTCAGACAATTTTTTCCCCTTCACAAATCTCACATGAATGCATACAGTGCCTGGAAGCTGTCTTCATTTTTTTTTTTTTTTTCCCCTAATAGGGTGCTGGGGGGAGGAATCTGAATCAATGACTGACGTCCCTGTTTTTCTGTCTGACCTGTCTTGTAACTCACTCTTGTAACTTGTTCAGTCACTTCCTTCATCCCTTCTCAGCTCCTCCTGCTCTTGTGCATTTCCTTCTTCCCCCCCATTTACAGCATACAACTAATGCTATAAATTTAGCAAAACCTGAAGCCAGACTTCCAGACCCAATGGTTTTGCATTTACATCTAGGCTACCCCGACACTGCGGTAAGGAGATAGGGAGCAGGAGGATCTGTCGGCCCGGCCAGTTGTAGCCTGCGGAGCGACTGAGGTCAAATTCTTTCGCTTCTCTTTGAGCGTTATTCCCTGTAAAACAATTCCAGTGACGCTGTAGGGTGAAGAACTTTGAGAGCTGTTGAAATACACTGTAATGACAGTCGCCTTTTTACCTTTTTTCCTAAACAAATTCTTGTTGATCTAGCTCTTACATGGCCACAATGATCTAGCCTCATTCAGGCTGTTGTTCAATATTTATACGTTGCAGTCAGGGATTTGCTAACTTTGTTGTATTTGATGCTGAATATTCGATCACAGACCAGAGGAAGCTTAATTTGGTGAGGTCCGTTTTGACAAGGTTTAGCGTAATGAAGTAAAATAACTGGATGCAGGTCATCCAGCCAAAAGGTCGATCAGTGCCTTGCCTCAGTTACCTGGAAGCATATTCCACAGGGCAGCTGCAGTCTTCCCCAGACCTACTTTGTCCATAACGTAGGTAGGTCACCGCCAGCTTCGCTTGAGGCAGCTGGAGGAGAGCCAAGTCCGGGAGCAGAGAGACTGCGGGAACCAGGGGCTGAGCTGCGGCAGGACGGGACGGCGGGAGCAGCCCCAGCTCCTCGGCGTGGGGAACGGCTGCCGGGGACAGATAAGCCGCGGCCTCTCCTCAGCTGCCCGA